GGGGGGGGGGGGGGCCATGCTAAATTAAATGAAGGTGGGAAAGTGGAACCTTCGGGCCCTTGGTACTGCAACACAGCCTGGAATGCATGCTGGGTAACTTTCTAACTGTCTTGAGCCAGTAAGTGCACATGTGCTGCAGGTTTTTGTGTACATTCTGGCAAAGCTGTTTTCTTTTTTAGTCATTTTTTACTTACATACTACAAAATAATTAGTAATATTAAAGTACTCTGACATACCCCAAAGCTTCCCCAACCCCTCACCCTGCCCCCAAGCTTAATGATATAAGATAGCTATCACAAAAATATTGGTATGATAAGGCATAGATTAAATTCAGTATCCAGAAAAATGCTTATTTGTTCTGCTTCCTTTGTTCTTCCATCTTCTCAATCAGTTGAAATAGTCATATTGCTACCAAAGAAAACCAATATAAGCTGTTAGGAGTCAACTGTTGTTGACATGATTTTGTAGCAGTACAAGTGTTGCAAAACCACTTCAGCTTTAACCTGGCTTCATTCAAAGTCAAAGTTGGAGTGAAGTAGATCCTGTAGCACTACGGGATCATACAGAGGGAACAGCTACAGTGTAGTGGCTGATGCATGCATCAGTTTTCCCCCTCCCCTCGAAAGCAGCTACAGAATGCGTTGGCCCACATGCTTAGTCTTTCTTCCTCTCTCCTTCCATCTTTGATTTGTTAGAAGACTCTCGGTATAATATTCCTCCTTTACTTCTCTTCAATATTCCTTTACTGCTCTTTGTGGGTGAAATGACAGGCTCTTTGGATAAAGGGAGAACTATGATTCATAGAGTCATAGATTCATAGATTCAGGGTCGGAAGGGACCTAGTAGATCTTCTAGCCCGACCCCCCGCCAGGGCGGGAGAACAACAAAAAACCCCAAAAAGAGAAATGGGACTCAAACGAGTCCAGCCAGGTAGGCATCCAGCCTCTTCTTAAAGACCCCCAGGGTAGGGGCCAGCACCACTTCCCTTGGAAGTTGGTTCCAGCTCCTAGCCGCCCTAACTGTGAAGTAGTTTTTGCGGATGTCCAATCTATACCTCCTCTCCATCAACTTGTGCCCATTACTCCTTGTTATGCCAGCGGGCGCTAGGGGAAACAGCGTCTCCCCCAAACCCTTCTGGTCCCCCCTAGTGAGTCTATAGACAGTCACCAGGTCCCCCCTCAGCCTTCTCTTGTGGAGGCTGAATAGGTTCAGGTCCCGCAGTCTCTCACTGTAGGGTCTGCCCTGTTGTCCCCGGATCATGCGGGTGGCCCTCCTCTGGACCCTCTCCATATTGTCCACATCCCTCTTGAAATGGGGCGCACAGAACTGGACACAATACTCCAGCTGTGGCCTGACCAGCGTCGCATAGAGGGGGAGGATCACCTCCTTGGCTCTACTCGAGATGCACCTGTGGATGCACGACAAGGTCCGGTTAGCCCTGCCAACCATGACCTCGCATTGTCGGCCCATGTTCATCTTGGAGTCAATAATGACTCCAAGATCCCTTTCTGCCTCCGTGCTCTCGAGTAAGGAGTTCCCCATTGTATAAGTGTGCTGCTGGTTCCTACTGCCCAAGTGCAGCACCCTGCACTTGTCCGTGTTAAAACGCATCCTGTTCCTGTTAGCCCACCCCTGTAACCTATCCAGATCCCTCTGCAATCTCTCACTCCCTGCTAGCGTGCTCACCTCCCCCCAGATTTTGGTGTCATCAGCGAATTTA